CTAGGGCATGGAGGAGACGACAGAACGTGTGAAATGATGTTGGCATGCAAATGCAGTGACTTATGTAGATGCATCAGATATTGGGACACAAGTCATAGAATAACAGAATTGGAAGGTATCTTGTAGGTTTTCTAGTTCAAACCCTCTTCTTGAAAACTTCCAGTGTTGGAAGATTCACAACTTCTAAAGGCAAGCCGTTCCACTGGCTAAATATTCCCACTGTTCTCACTGTTAGGAAGTTTCTCCTTAATTCCAGGTTGATTCTCTCCTTGATTAGTTTCCATCCAGTTGTACTGTCTTCTGATGCTTTGGAGAATAGCTTAACCCCTTTTTCTTTCTGGCAGTCCCTTAGGTATGGGAACACTGCTATCGTGTCACCCCTAGTTCTTCTAGTCCTTTTTCATTAAGCTAGACATATCCAACTCCTGCCACTGTTCTTCATATTTTTAGCCTCCAGCCCTTTAATTACCTTTATTGCTCTTCTCTGCGCTCTTTCCAGAGTTTCTACATCTTTTTAATAATGTGGCAACCAAACCCAGGTGCAATATTCCAAGCGTGGTCTTACCAAAGCATTCTAAAGAGGTCTATTCTTCTGTTAATGCAGCCTAGGACTACGTTGGCTTTTTTTGGCAGCTGTAGCACACTGCTGGCTCATATTTAAGTGGTTGTCCACTAGGACTCCAAGATCACCAAAACTGGTGTTGTCATGGAGCCGAGGTGGCGCAGTGGTTAAATTCAGCACTGCAGTTCAGCAGTTTGGCTGTTCAAATCCCACCAGGCTCAAGGTTGACTCAGCCTTCCATCCTTCCGAGGTGGGTAAAATGAGGACCCAGATTGTTGTTGGGGGCAATATGCTGACTCTGTAAACCGCTTAGAGAGGGCTGAAAGCCCTATGAAGCGGTATATAAGCCTAACTATTACTGATTGCTAACTATTTTGGCACCATTGTGAATTGCTGTGGACAGAGTTGGTCATGTATGGCACTACAGATAATTTTACAGTCCTAATAAAGGTAAAGGTTCCTCTTGCACATATGTGCTAGTTGTTCCTGACTCTAGGGGGCACTGCTCATCTCCATTTCAAAGCCATGGTCATGTGGCCAGCATGACTAAACACCAAAGGCACATGGAATACTGTTACTTTCCCACCAAAGGTGGTTCCTATTTTTCTACTTGCATTTCCTATGTGCTTTCGAACTACTAGGCTGGCAGAAGCTGGGACAAATAACAGGAGTTCCCTCCGTTATGCGCCGCTAGGGATTCGAACCGCCAAACTGCCAAACTATCTGATCGACAAGCTCAGAGTCTTAGTCACTGAGCCACTGCATCTCTAACAGTCCTAATAGTGCTTCTTAAAGCCGTAAATAGCAGGCAAAGAGGATCCTTCAGCATGGGATGATTCCCAGTTACAGAGTCAGGAGTAGAGATACTGGAAGTAACTCCATTTCTCTAAATAAGTAACATGGAAAAACAGGAACTAAAAACAATTCCCATCCCTCCAAGTATGAAAATTTACTGAATTTGAAGAAGTTAAAATTGAGTTCAACTCTTTTACTTCGACATTAGCCATAGAAATTCATGGAAATAGTTGATTTGGGGACTGGAGGTTAACACATATGAAGAACAGTTGCAGGAATTGGGTTTATCTAGACTAGTGAAAGGTAGGCTGTCATGTCACAAGGGATGACATGACAGCAGTGTTCCAATATTTGAGGGGCTATCAGAGAGAAGAGGGGGACAACCTATTCTCCAAAGCACCAGAAAGCAAAATAAGAAACAATGGATGGGAACTAATGAAGGACAGAAGCAACCTAGAACTAAGGAGAAATTTCCTAACAATGAGAACAATTTATCAGCAGAAGAGTTTGCCTTTGGAAGTTGTAGGTGCTCCAATCTCTTGTTAAAAATCATTGGAGGTTTTTAACAAGAGATTCAACATTTATCTGAAATGATATAGGGTCTCCTGCTTGAGTAGGAGTTTGGACTAGAAGACTTCCAAGATCCCTTCCAGCTCATTCTATTCCATTCCACTCCACTCCACTCCATTCTACCCAGATGGATGGATGGAGAGAGAGGAAATGCAATATGTTATCAACTTTTTCCATTTTAATAAGTGTTGAATGAATGTATTCAACAAAAATATTGAATAAATAATAAAGAAAAATGTTGAAAAAATTAATTAAATACTTGAGTGGCTTCTTAATTCCTCCCCGAGAAAATTTTTTCTGGCACTGGTAGATATTTTGGCCTTCTAATTATGATATTCCTAAGTATTTCTGGAACAATTGGGATAAACCAAGCCCAGCCTTCCGAATGTATTAGCATCAGTGGGCATTGCTAGGGGCAGGAAGTCACTATCGAAAACTCATTTATCTAGTTTTCATCCTATTTACTGCCTGAGATAACATCGCCCAGCTGCTTGGCCTCATCAGTGAAAAATATTTCAGACAATGCCTAAAGTGGGGATTTCATTTCAGTTGTTTAACAACCTCTGTATGCTACACTTCATTGGCTATGGTTAAGATTGGGATAGGAAATTGTAGAGGCTAAAGATTGCTTCCTACAAATATCTATGTTGCATGTGCAAGAGTGAATGTTCATGCTGTTGACACACTTGGCTTGCTTGCATATAAAACTAGGATTCAGTTTCAAATCTAGATTTGAAAAGGTCTTTTGGAGCAGATACAAGGGTGTATCTTCTCCTAGCTCATCCAGTTCAGTAGCTTGGCTACTGAACCCTAGGGTTGTGGAGCTGGCAGCAAAGTTGGACAGTGAGGAGGTTGGGGAGGAACATGGGACAGTCTTGGAGTCTAGGGAAGACTCAGACAAGGGCTATGTGCGGAGGCAGAGAGGGGGCCAGGGCCATCTAGTAATTATGTGCTCCCTCCTGAGCCTGACACCAGAGAGGCAGAAGAACAGTGAGAGCCTGTTCCCATGTGCGCATGTGCAGAGGTGTGAGAAGGCAAGAACAGTTAAGACAAAAAGGGTGACTCGGGAGTAAGGCTTGGAGATGATTGGCCCCTCCCATAAGACATAAAAGAGGAGCAAAGGGACGTGAGCCTTTGCAGGAAGCAATTAGTTCATCTAGTCAGTTCAAGGTCTGAGGAGTCCTGTTTGACTCTGTGCTCCATTTGGCCTTGCAAAACTAATTGGCAATTGGGTCGCTGGCAGAATTTCAAGGGAGATAAAGATGGGTGCTTATCAACATTACTCTGAAAGACTGTGTCAACTCAAGCAGACATCTGTCGGATTCTTCACAGGCTGTTTGTGAATCATTATGGGATGTGAATGACCATAATTCACAGATGTCTAAATAACAGAGGGTTTGTGGACTAAGATTTTGATTTATGCTTTCTCAGGAAAGCAGGCCAGAACACCTAGAAATAAATCTATTTAAGAAGATACAAACAGCCTAACCCCACATCTGTTTGAAAGTACGTTGCCAAACCCTCTAACTGGAAAACCATGCTATCACGCATACCCACAAAGCACATAACACTTTTCAATAGAAATGCATGTTGCCCATATGTATTCTGAAGAACCTGTTGATAAAAACCCAAATAGTAAAACACATCCATAATGTTAATACTAGCATTAAGAAAACTGTGTAATCCCTGTATTAGAGTAAGGTCTCTATGCAAAGAGCAATACATTTAGGAAAAGATGGAAGGAGGGAGATAGAGACCTTAAATTGGCAACTGTCAAGCACCAGGGTAAATCTGGAGATTCAGGCAATTCAAATGAGTATAAATATTTATTGCAAATTTAAACTCTCTGCAAGAATCTGACCAACTGGCCATTCAGGGAAATGAGCGGGAGATAAGAGAGGCATTCAAGATGGGCTGGACTCAGTTCTCTTGCCAGTGCACAGGGATTCACACAGAAGTGGGATTCAAAAATGTTAGCAAGGGGTCCTCTGCCTGGTTGCTGGTGGGGCACGGACATGGCTCCGGAGGCTTTTCACGAGCCCCTGAGAGGGTGAAAATTGCCTCCTCAGGCTTCAGAGGCCCTCTGGAAATGGACCCATTTCCAGCCTTCTCGAATATCTGGTAGGCCCATTTTTCGCCCTCCCCAAGCCTCCATGAGCACCCTTCACTTACCTGCATCCAAAACAGGCTGCGTGGGGACTCCTGGGAAGGGCGGGGTTGGTTGGGCCAGCCAGGAATGGGATTTGGGGGTTCTCCAAACTGCACAGAATCTTAGCTAGAGGTTCTCCCAAACACCTATGAACCCCCAGCAGCCCACCCCTGGATAAAGAGCTTAAATTGGCAACTGTCAAGCACCGAGTTAAATCTGGAGATTCAAGGACTTCAAATGGGTATAAAGATGTATTGCAGTTTTAAACTCTCTGCAAGAATCTGACCAACTGGCCATTTAGGGAAATGAGCAGGAGATAAGAGAGATATTCAAGATGGGCTGGGCTCAGTTCTCTTGCAATTATGCCGGGATTCACGACTTATGATGCATTTGACCCCTCCCTCGGGCTCAACCTGGTCATCTCCTACAACAACCAGGACAATATAATCCTGTTTTAAGGTGATGTCTTCTTCAGAGACATTGTTTTCTATCAGGGGTTAGGCTGAAAAGTTTCTGACTTTGGTTCTGACTTTGGCAAAATATTGATACAAAAGTCCTTTGAAGGACTCAACAGCTCTACCGTAATAGAGATCTGAGGCTTTGTGTAAAGCAGTAGCAGACTTTAGGTAGTAGAAAATAAGAAAGTTACACCAATGCCTTTTGGGATGGCAAACTTTTCTCTCTAATAACACATCATTTGGCATGTTGCCATTAAGTCAATGATTTGAACAAAAGAGAATGAAAAGTGAGCAAAGCGTAGGAAATTGTATTTTTCTCTCTTAATACATATTGCATAATTGAATTACATTCAAAAGTAAGGCTTCTAATACATCCATCAAGGAAGCAGGCCAACAGCAACCAATCACATCATTTGGATAATCCTGTTACCTGTCATCACCAAGATTTCACAGCACATGTGCTTACCTGCATAGAATTCTGGACTATAGACTGCACCAACAACTGGATTTAATTTCCAACCTGTAGTAAAGATAAGAAACCAAATTTGGTAAATTTGAAGTTATGGCATGATGTTCTTTTTTAATAGTTTTTATTCAACATTTTAACCTTTAGAAACAGAAAAAAACCCCAACAATTACAGAAAAAAAGACAAACATAACAATATATATATAATTTTACAGCCCTCTGTATTGACATACATTTTTAGCTTTTGTAGTTCTGACACCAGTGGTGGGTTTCAAAATTTTTAGAACCACTTCTGTAGGTGTAGCTGCTTTGTATGAGTGGCTTGCCAGCCATGTGACCGGGTGGGAGTGGCTTGCCGGCCATGTGACTGGGTGGGCGAGGCCAACTTGTAAAATGTGGCAAAACTCACTTTAACAACACTCTTACTTAGCAACCAAAATGTTGGCTCAGAAACTCTGGCATTGAAGTGTGCAAGTCTTAAAGCTGTTAAGTTACCAGACCCTTTCACCCCTAACCCTTTAGAAAAAAAAAACCTAGGGGTGTTCAAACTTAACAGTTTAAGACTTGTGAACTCCCAGAATTCCTCCTCTCACTCTTCATCTTGATGATGTGCAGAAGGGTGGGAGGAGGGAGCTGGAAATGGTTCTAAACAGCTCTATAGATTTGTGGAACTTCTTCTATAGAAGAGGTTAGAACTGGCAGGAACCCACCCCTGCACTACACACACACACACACAGAGAGAGAGAGAGAGAGAGACAGACACACACAGACAGACAGACAGACACACACACACTTTAAGTGGAAGTGACATTAAATAAAGGGGGAATATATGTGTCTTTTATTTTAAAAAAACCCACTTTGTATCAATTGACTCTTTCTTCAATACTGGGATATAATTTCAGCCCATTTCATGAAAAGGAGATTTTATTTATCCACTTAATGCAAGCCTGTATAACTCTGCAAAAAAGAAGAAATAACTTTCTTTTCATTTGATGAACAGAGACAATCTTCTTCCTGGTTTCAATTTGGATGGGCTTAAAAGGACTTTACTTTCACAACACACTAAATCCTAAACCTGGATTAAGAAAACTCCAGTGGTATACTTATATAAAACGCTTGCCCTAATAAATCATTTCACAGCTTAGCATAATGGCTTGGCTTCCCCAACAATATGTAAGTTCATTTATAAATGAACCATGCCTAGCTCCGACTTCTGAAACATTTTTTTTTTCATAAAATAAGTTCATTTATTTTCTTTTGTTAAGTTTCAGACGAAAAGTCAGGAACTTTCCCCAAGTTTTTAATGGAAGATAACAGCAGAATTCCTATTTACAAAGTTTATCTACCTATTCTCTTCTTGCAGTCATTTAGAACACAGTATGAACTTAATTTTGTTCTACAAATAAATTAAAATAAAACTAAGATGGGTTGGAGCAGATAAATACTTGGATGAATGACTGATAGGACCAGAAACCAGACTGTGTGTGAGAGAGAGAGAGCGGGGGGGAAGGAGAAAGAGTGAAAGAAAGAGAGAAGGTGGGAGAATAGGAGGTGGGAGAGAGGAGGTGTAAGAGAGAGGGAGAGAAAGAGGGAGGAAGAGGGAAAGAAAGCGAATGAAAGAGAGGGGGAAGGGGGAGAGAGGGGGCAAGAGAAAGAGTAAGGTAATAGTAAACCACTTCCATTTTGTTGCCAAAAAATACACCCATTCGCCATCTGCAATTGAGATTTCTTTTAATAAATAAACAAATAGAATATTTTGTTTTGTTTTTAAGAAATTTATTTATTTATTTTATTTATTTATTAGAATTTGTCAAACAAAAATGAGAACAAGAATAAAAGAATAAAAATACAGTGACAGGGGTGATAGGCTGTGATTAAGCCGTGGTCACATTGAAATGGAGAAGTCAACCTTTCAGTGGTAAGGGTCACAATTACTATTAGCACAGACCATAATAACTAATTATGCACAATGCCTACCATGTAAAGTTAGTAAGACAAGCATCATCATTTTTATTCCATTTGATGGTGGAGGCCATTGTTTGTAAACTAAGTTAAACTTATTCTGAAGCTGGGTTTATTACAGACTTAGCTACACAAACATTTTGTGTGTGTTTCCTAACATAAAAAATGCTGCTGAGTTTTACAAAAGTGTACAATTTGGTGTCTCCATTCTACTCATGCCATTCCACTTTTTCCAATTGTGCAATAACCACACAACTAAATTAAATAATCTTGAGAGAAAACCTTATTGCAGCCTAGGAAGGGAGAAAAAAAAGAAAAGGAAGATGGCATGCAAGATTTATTTTCTTCCTCCCAAATCTTCCAAGCTGATCTAAGCCAAGTCCTCAAGCATCAAAAGCCTTTAATTACTTGAAGTGTAATTTTCTAGAATACTTTTTTATTTTATTTTACTTCTGCACCGATAAGCCATTTTGGCTGGTTTTTCACATCTGTCAGACGCCTCTGTCAAAGAGGCTAAAAGATAACCTCAGACATTTTAAGTTATACTAATGGTGCCTCAATTTGTCTTCGGGAAGAGAGGGGGAGATGGGGCAGATGCAGATCGATGATCTCAGCTGAAACCTGCTCTCATATTTCATCTCCTACCCAATTTGATGGCTGCATCATCTAACTTGGGGAAGCTCACTCTGCAAGGACTCCATTTATCATGAAAATAACAGCAATTAAACTTTACTTTGTCTTGTCAATGAAGCATTTGCTGGCCCATAACTGTGTGGGTTAATCAAGTGTGAGGAGAAGTTTGACATGTACGAGTGAGGAACTGCCAAGGAGCCAAGTCTTCACCATTAGAGGAGGTAAATTCACCACTGTGGGTGTAGTTCTCGGAATTTGTCTTGCTGTCACAACACATACCTCAGGTAGAAACTTTTAGAACAGACAGGAAAGGGGAAAAACAACCTGTCTCTTATGCAGATAGACAGACTTAGTGCCTGGATGAGGAAGAAATGTAATTTAGTGTGTATGCTTACTTAACTTTATTGTGGTTATTAACCAACCAGCTTTCTTCTTATTCTATATGTATATTCTCTTCTATATTGTATATGTATATAGATTGTGTGTCAACCCACAAGGTACCCCTAGCCTGCTCTCGAGTTGCCATAAGTAAGGGGCTTGGGAAACCAACGAAGTAGCATAGCAGCCATAAACAGAAGTACATTCCAGGCTTATCTCTCTCAAGGCTTTCTCCAAGGGTTACCCACAGCGGTGGAGGGGCGTGATCTCTACAACCCACAAAACTGCTCTTTTGGGAATGTGATTTATGACACCCCCTAGAGGGAGGGGGAAACAGGGTCGTGATTGGGGTGTAAATTACGTGGGGTCAGAGCTGGCTTCACTTGGGAATGTGTAAACATAAAGCTCCTAATAAATAACTGGATTTCTTTTGAAGTTTGGCTCGAGGCTCATGATTTAATTAGGGCATCCGTTAGAACCCTGCCATTGCATATGTATATATAATTTACCTATACATAAATATAACCGGCCTTTTAGCATTTTTAATTTCATATGAGCTTTAAGCCATTTTTATTTTTGTCGGTATGTACTTTTCTTAACTTTCCTGTCACAGTCACTTAAATGAGGAAAAGGCTTTCAGTAACCAAGTTTATTGATGAAGGTTTGAAACAAAACAGGTATTACATTAGAGGGAGGAGAGAAATTAATTGAACTTCTCTTTTGAATATGAACTTTATCAAATTTTTCATTTCCATCCAGAAGGCAAAGCAAAAACTTCATTATCGTTTGAAATCTACAATTCTCCAAATTCCCTATCACAACTCATCATTTTAAAAAAAGGAAGAAAGAAAGCACATTAGAAGGGAAAAAATAAAACAAAGTCTATTATCTTAGGAAAGTTGGATCTCTTGAAAAGCTAAGCAGGATCAGATCTCCCTACTGCATAGAAGTGAGACCACCAGGAATAGACCAGATCTGTAGGGTAAATTTGGAGGGGGGGGATCTTAAAAGAAAGAAAACCACTACAATATAGTTGCCAAGGTCACTCCATGGACAATTTCAAAAAGTTATCAATTTGACTGAGAAGCGACTTGACCTTTATTTGTATTTCTGTCACACAGATTTGCAAACAATAAGTCAGGTGTCCCAATACATGCAAATTATAGACAAAAGCCTTAATTAAGTTTTGAGTTAATACATTTCCAAATCTAAGTTACCCTTGCCTTATCTTTAAAAATAAGAAGATGGGGAAAAGCAACATTAACAGCTTCCTAAGGACTCCACTTAGGACTCTGATGGCAAACCTAGGGCATGCATGCCAGAGGTGGTATGCAGCACCCTCTCTGTGGGCACGCAAGCCATTGCCCCAGTTCAACTCCACTGCGCATGCTTGCATCCCTCCCGCTGCCCAGCTGGTCTTTGGGTCTCTGCTGTGCATGTGTGGGGGCGGGATGCATGTGTGGGTTACACACACACGTGTGAGGGTCAGGTCACATGCACATGTGTGGGGCTGGGGCATATGGGGGAGTGGTGTGGGGGTATTTTTCCCCCTACTCAGCTTCACAGGGCAGTTTTAGCTGCAAGTATTGAAAGGAAGAAGAGTAGAGAGGTTGCCTTTCGGTTAAAAAAAATCGGGCTCTCCTTTATGGATGACTTGAGTTGTTGCTATCTTGGACAATGAAAACAAGATATGGCTCCCATTTTATGGCATTTTCAAAACTGTTATTCTGAAACTTGCGGTTATTGTGCTACAATCTTCTTTGGCGGTGCTAATCCCTAGAAGCTGCTTGGCTGGTCTTTTTGATCTTCTTTCCTAGCTCTTATTCCAAAGACAAAGCAGAATCCTCGGTATTAAGGAGAAAGGTCTTCCTTCTCTGCCTTTTTTGCTTCTTCCTTTCTTTGAGTTCCCATCTTTCTGAACCTTTGGAGACTTGCCAGCTATCTCTCCTTGCCTTGAATCCAGTGGTGGGATTCAGCCGGTTCGCATCACTTCGCGAGAACTTCGGTTGTTAACTTTCTGAGCAGTTTGGAGAACTGGTGGAAGAAATCATTAGGGCCGAGAACCGGTTGTTAAATGATTTGAATCCCACCACTGCCCGAATCTCTTCCTGCACGCTCCAAATCACTGCCATGAAATCCTTCAGAAAGATTGGCTGCTTCTTGGTGTGCCCCCCCACCCCGCACTGTCTAAATATTGTTCCTGATAGCACGGTGCACTGTTAGAACAAGGCCTCAATTTGGCCTTCACTCCTTATCAGAAAGATAATAGCTAGGGAAACTTTTGTGAAATCATTCCTGGTTCCCCAGATCGCTCCAGCTCCTCATTTCTCCCGAGAGCAGACTGGACCTCAGCAATCTGCGATCGTAGTTAACCTTCAGCAATGGGACAGAGGGGAATTCAAAAATTGGGGGCTGCTGAAATGAAGAAAGCTTATAGAAGCTGAATGAGCTTGCTGAACAACAAGGGGTCTTGCATGAACGGCTCTGTGTGAAAAGATTGTACTTTTAACACAGCCAGAGTTAATAAGAAGAAAGAGTGTGTCAGGCCTGGAAGCCATCTTGGGCCTTGGATCTCCAGGCCTGCCATGTGTAGTGCTGTGGGAAACTGGGAGGGGGGATTGCATGGAGCTGGGGGGGATATATAATCAAAAGAACATTCTTTTCTCAGAGAGTCGAGGCCACTCTGCCCTGCACCTGGAGGGGTGTGACTGGGAGGCATCTCCAGTTGGGATGGTGGATTGATTGGACCATGTGATGGACATGGAGGTGCTTGGACAGGGGCTGAGACTCTCTTTTGGGAGGGGAAACCTGGAAGCTTTCAGATTCGGCTTTTCCCAGATGTGCCAATGTGATATCTCTAATAAAATGGGACTTTGAGGAACTTTAGGCCTCGGAGTCTTCTTTCATTGGGGGTCTTACTTGGAATCCTGACCATTTTTGTGGATATATTCAAATATAGACACCAAAACTAATTTAACTTAGGGATAATACACTGTTGAACAAACAAAATAAGACACATTGACCTGTAAGCTTCTTGTTTTTGTTGTAGATGATGATGACAACCACAACTCTTAACTCAGTACTGGTAGTCCTTGACTAACAATTGTCCATTTAGTGTCAAAGTTACAGTGGCACTGAAAAATGTGACTTATGACAGTTTTTCACAGTTAGGACCTTTTTTTTTCATAAAGATTTTTAGTTTTCATTTTCATAACATATATATATATATGTGTATATATATATATATATATATATATA